GGCTACGTACTCACTACAGTTCTAAGTTTTTGTTTACCAAGTCTTACTTTTGGCTTCCTATTTATTCTCTGAGATTTATAATCTTTCGTCCTTCGGGAACAGACGCGGAACAGAAAAATAAATAAAATAAAATGTCTAATTTTATGGACGTCCGCAGAAGCTTTTCTTTTAGAACAAACTCTGATTTTATTATCACTCACAATTTACTTGGATCCCGATTACATGAAAACAATGTTGAATAATGAGACGACAATTACAAAGGCCGTTTCATTCGATAATGAAATGTCCTGCTTGATCATGTTGATTTTCTATACTGATTAAGGCCTTTTCATCGTTTGAAATATACAAATTCTGAAGAATTTTTGTCTTCTTTAATATTGCTCACCCTATTTAATTGCACCATGAGAGGTTCTGCAGGAATGAAATTAATTCTGTCACGAGGAATGCGATCGAGATATTGATGTTATGGTTAGTTTATGACAAATCTCAGGAAGAAATACTCAAAGGAGTCCTTTTTTGATATTTATTATTATTTTAAACTAATTTCCAAGTTGAGATGAATTATATTTGTGAATATCAACAGTTTTCTAAATTCCTTCACTTTTGAGGTTTACCCCGCTCGCTTGTACGTCGACAAAGCATGGATACGCACAATGCACAAGATGACGGACCTCATAATTTGGGCAACCATTACATTTAGTGCTTGGAAAGATGGGACCCTTCTGCCCAAATATAAAACAACTTTTAATGCCAAAACCAGTTGGACTCTCAACTTATCAACTAAATAAAGTATTTTACTCACCCTTTTGCTTTACGACGCAGCAAAGTTGCAGAGACAAGTTTATGCCTGCTGTTTGTCTCCTACATTCACCACATCTTATCTTTCGGCTAACCAAGTTCATCCCACTTTTCTCTCATTTGCTTCTCCATTTCTCTTTTTTCCTGCCAGCTTTCTTGCTCGTTTCCCTTTTCCTCTGCGGAATACGATGTGAGCAACTAAATTGTTTGAAGATTTGGGTGGTGAGAAAAGCCGCTCCAAATTATGACCACTTGCGAATTTCACTTGGAGTAATAACAGGCACAGATAACCAGGTCAAAATTACTTTGTTTTCTGGAGAAAGCATTGCATTTCTTGAAAGAGGAGGAGAAAGTGAGAATGCGAGGGAAAGTTGAGGTTACTCTTCGGCATGCTCCGTGCAGTAAAAATGTTCCCACACGGTACATGCATACATGGTACATGGTGCCTACGTAGTCGTGGGACGATGATGAGATATATGGTATGTCGCGACCAATCCCTAAATTATTTCATTTGGCTCCCTCTTGGAACTGCTCCACATTCTTCGTCTTTATTAGCGAAAACAATTCGAGTAAACAAGAAAACAAAATAGAATGACAGGGACAGATAGCGAGCGATTACAAAAGTGAGAAAGTTGGTCAAATAACTACTCGATGTCGGTTGGATACAGATATTATTCTGGTGAAGGCGTATACCACTTCACCAGCCAGATAATAGGTTCGTGGTGGTAGTAGTGGCGGCTGTGGAAGTGGTTGCATTGTACGCAGCATAGTTTTCTTCTCTGGATTTCTCTCGGTTTTTCTCTAACTAGTCGAGCAACAAAGATGAGACCAAGATTTCCCAGGAGAAAGTCTATGTATTTTTATAATTAATTCGGTAATCAAGGATCGAGAAGAGGAGAGAGTGGTGGGGGGTGGTGGTCTGCTTCGTGGTGTGCAGACGAAGACGAGCCAGTTATGCTGTGTTCTTAATTTCGAGTATTAATCATACTTATATCTATTTAGCTAGCTAGCTGGTTGGGCTGCTGTCAAGTGTATAAGCAGAGTTTATTCAGTGTCTGAGCTCAGCCCTGCCACAGGCTGTTTGTATAATTAGTCTTATTTAGTGAGTCTTATTCATTATGCCTACCTCCCATTTCCCCAGCACACGGAAGGTATCTCGTCCTTTCGGTAACACCATCAAGGCGAGAAATGAAGATTTAGAAGCTATTAGGAGCCTTTCCCTGCAAACGTCACCAGCAAAAATATACAAGATCAATTTCTGATAAAGTGCATTTTTGGTCATCGTTCAGGTTTGTTTTTCATTCAGAGCTGAAAAAGCAATACGATTAATTATTTGCCACACAAGAATGGAGAAAAAAGGGTTGGCAATCCAGAGCTTAATTGTCCGTATACCGTTTTTGTAGTTCTAATGAAAGGGAGCACTGACAAGCAAAATGGGGGTGGGACGAGTTGGCGTGAGACGGATATGAGTCAAATGTTGGTGAAACATTGTTCTATTTTTTCCGTGACGTTGTCTGAGAAATTGGACAGGATTCATGCTTTCAGAGCAGAAAATAAGTTTGTTTTTGCAATTCTGCAAAAGTGGTGCATATATAAATACATACGAGGACAACAATAGCAGCAAAAAGCAGCGTTGCAGACAGACACAAAATGAAGAAAAATTGTACTATCCAATTTGCAGCAAACTTGGAAAAAAATATTCATGGCTATACGTATACCAAGACTAACATGCAGTCAACAGTGAATATTTGGGTCAGTAGACTTAAACTAAACACCATGCACATCGCTTACAGTGGCGATGAAAAACTCGCTGCTTTCTCCTCCAAATTCATTCAAGTTCTAACAATGTTTCACCTACATTCTCGTCAATCGTTGGCTCTAGACGTCAAGACCTTTGTTGGCTGGATTACTGCCCACACTGTAAATAAATATTCATTTCGAGGGAGTATTCACTGAAATTTTCAACTATCTGTAGAACGAGGATCAACTTTCTTTCGCACCATAAATTATACGGCATGACCCAATTTTATCTTTTGCCTTGCCTTGTCTAGATTTAAGTAGTCGGCATCACAGCATCCTCGGCGTTCAGGTACGTATTTACGAGGAGCGAAAATTCAACAATTGCATTATGCACCTAGATAGGCAGAGAGGTTGGGAGAGGGTGATGGACATAATGAGCCGCCTTTTACACAAGATGAGGCAAGTTTCTTTTTGGGTTTATTGGTACGTCATTCATAAAAGTCAACGTCAAAGTAAACGAGTTTAGCCCAACCTGTGTTTTACTTACATTGGAGCCCCACAAACTCATTCTCTGGTCGAAAGTCAATTTCACTCAATCTGTGAATAAGAGAAAGAGAAAGCAGCGGAGAATGAAGGAGCACAACGGAAGTTGGCTTAATTACGCTACATGGTGCTCTGAAGGTGGTAAACTTTTCGGCATCATTAACGTTTCTTTATGGAAGTTGTTGATTGTTTCTCCTTTCCAAACCGGGAGAAACGTGTTGGTTAATTACTCGAGGAAAACGATTGCGCAGATATGCCGTGTTTCGAACTTTTATGTCATATAATAATGATTATGAGGACTTAGTGTACAACTTTCTCGTCTTTCCAACCATTTTTCGCCATACATATTACGTAATATCATTATTGTTAGACGATTTTGTATGAATATAACAAGTTGCGAGCATGAGGAATGCACCCTTTAATCCAAGGAAATGTGGTGATTATGACTTCCCATAAGCCCTTTACATAATCACACCTTCGTAATATTATACAGGGGATCAATCGGCTCATGCAATTTATTAGCACCGTGTATTACTGCACAATGTGTTCTTTACACAACCATCGTAAAACCTGAAAATTTTGATGCAGCAATGCGAATCTAAATATTATAAATTTCTACCAAGCATCATATTTAATATGATATGAAACGCTTTGCAGTGAGGATATGGTTGGATAAAATGGAAGGAGAGGGGCTCACTATGTAGGGCCAAGATTATGCATTTTGTACCATGTTTAGTATGCCAAACAGAACCAATGGATGACAACTGAAATATACATGTGCGACCATAATATGTGGATGACGATTTAATATAGCATAGGCTTATTTAGCGTGTTCACTAGGTGAGGATGGAGGCATCTGGAAGCCGTCAGTGCTTTGTTCGTGCATAGCAATCTTTTTGTGGTTGCATGTATCCCATTGTTTTGGGTTATCTGCTAATGACTTGAGGGCAGTTCTAAAATTTTCTGTTGCGTGAGTATGATTGAGTTAATGATACTGGACTTTTGAGCTGCTCGCCATCATACACACTAAAATGTCGAGCTCGTACAAAACTAAATCGATTTACGTGCCAAACCAAACTAATAAACTAGTACTAAACAAAGCAAAATCATGTTAAGGCGGGTTGTATAACTGAAATTTACATATCTAAGAAGTTTGAAACCAAACATGTAATAAAAGATCCATTGAAACCCCATACTAAATGTTACGAGTGTTACATGCGACTCAATTCCGACTCCACGGCAATAACAATACGAAAGTAATAGATTAAAACAATAATATCTACCTCAAATCCGAACGATGATTATAAAATTGCCGCCATTACCAATGCAGAATTTTCACTATACAACGAACTACCAAAGAAATAAACATTTTCCTCCATAAATACAATCATATACATAAAAGTATTTCATCCAAACGCTGCAAATTTGGTTGCTCGTTGTCCCACTTTGTCAGTAGTCGATATGAGCATGTGAAACCATTGAACCCCGCTGAACGTGACCAGTTGACATAATATCGCTCTATCCATGAGTTTTAAGCAAGGAAACTATGATTTTCAAAGCCGCCGAATGGGTCTTACACGGGATCAAAGGGCAGACAGCCGAGACCACGAGCACCAACACCACGCGCCTTTGATCAGTGGTCAACAGAGAAAGAGTTATGATCACATTGAAAAAGAATGAAAATAAAAATAGAAAACAGTTTCCGAGAAACGATGCAGCTGGTGTAAACTTGATATCGCACAATCACACACACTTTTTCGCCCTACTTGTACCCACTGACATGAATTTATTGATGATGAGATGTATATATAGAACAAGTGTGTATAGTATAAGTTGGTATAAAGGAAGATGCGAATGTTACTTGCTTTCTCCTCAGAGGACAATGAAAAATGACATAATTTTTGCTTATCTATTTTCAGATAATAAGTTACAGTTCACCTCGCGGCGGAGTCAGCGTCGTTACGGAGAAGGTAAGTTCTGTGCTATTTTGTTCTAAATTCAATTTTATTTCGTGTACTTCGATAAATTTTTTAATGATTAATCCTAGTAAATAAAAATACATCATTGTCTGGACATTGGAAAAGAGTAGATTTAAACGCATTTGTCTGATTATCTTCTTAGGGTGAGACGACCGTGAGCCATCTTCTGATTTTGATGGCTAAAAATGCGGATTCAGGTAGATATTCGTGTTCACCGAGTAATGCTGCGCCCCACGGAGTCAATGTGCACGTGCTGTCAGGTAAGTATGGTGACCCACGCCACAATACCCCTTGAATATATATTTTATAAATTCCAAAACTTCCAAGCTTCGTATTTTAACCAGATAATGTCTAATTTTACCTGCTTTTTATTCTAAATTTTGAAACCATTTTTGAAAGAATATTTTTTTCGAATTTTAGGTGAAAAGCCTGAAGCAATGCAAACCGGTGGACAGATGCCACAGCAAATCCCAGTCAGTTTGTGTCTCTTGTCTACTGCCATTCTGCTCATGATATATTAACCGACTGGGACAGCGACCCTCTTACTTTACATACTTTTTTGATACAACTAAATTACTAAACAATTAATAATGCGGAAGAAGACTTCATATCGTTCAACTCAAAGTTTACGTTAAGGATGCTCCACAGAGGTTAGTAAACAAGCTGACTTCTTTTTAATAAGGATTTTCAAGTCAACCAATTTTCACGATTATCTACATAGATACGTACCAGGGTGCATAAACTTTTTTGTTGTCCGTGGTTTCTCCTAAGGGGGTGATGCAAGGATGAATTTTTTTCAGAAAAATTAAAAGTTCGGGAATTACATGTGATTTTGCTTTGAATTTGGGTGGTTTCCATGCCAAATTCGCATGCAATTCCCGAACTTTTAATTTTTCTGAAAAAAATTCATCCTTGCATCACCCCCTTAGGAGAAACCACGGACAACAAAAAAGTTTATGCACCCTGGATACGTACATACTTAATTCGGTGCTGTTGTAAATTAAAAATAATCTCAAGTTTATTTGTGTAGAATTATAATCAAACATAATGGTTACCTTGAAAACAATAATTCATATTTTTTTCATCGAACAAAGTGTGTATGTAGCCATCAAGATTGATAAAAATAGATAATTAGCTCGGGCTCTGCCAGGCTAGATTTATTATACGTTTTTGGAAGAGAGATATTTTCGGAAACACTAGTCATTAGTGTTTCATAACATAACGTAAGTATAAGAGTGAGTAAGATGGTGAGATTCCTGATAGAAAGGCTGAGGAGAAATAGAAAAAGTGTATTTTTGTCCAATTAATGAAAAGGTCACGCCCATAATGAAAGGACGTTATTATTAGTGCAGGATATCAGTTATGATTGGAGAAATGAGACCAGTTAAATAAATAAAAATACGTATGTGTCAATTCTACCGAACCAGACAGTTGTGCTGATGATTTCAACTGCCACACCCCTCAAACAGCCATCAACTTTCCTTTATATTATTTAGCAGGCATGTCACTATAGAGAGATAAAAAGGTAAGGGTTACCTGAAGTCCAACAACTGCAAACAGTGGAGTGATACTTATATCGTTGCGAATGAATTGGAATTCACGTCATATTCTACTCAGATATTATCTTATCCTCCTTCCAAATGCATGTTGCATGCATTTGTACACGTCATTTTGTACCCGAGGACTCGTGATGGTGCAGTTATAAGTGAAAGTAGATAATGACCTCGAAAAAGGCTAATAAGGGAGTCGCGGATTTAAAAAATGCTATTTTTGTGTCGAAATTGCTTCCCATAAAAGAATTAAGTCTGATTCTCATCATAATTGGCGTAGGATTAGCATCAGCTTACCCCGTCTGTCAATCAGAGTCCAGTTGAAAATATTTCAAATAATTTGTTCAAAAACATTTTCATTGCAATTCATCATTTCCGTGATTGATCCAATTTCTTTGTTGCAAAATGTATTTCATAGATCCAAACTGAAGTAAATTCGTTATGCAAGGGTTCAATTCAACAAAATTGGTAGTAACTGCATATACATTTTTACGTTGTACGTAACAACTTGTACACATTATTATGAACTTATGCATGATATGATAATGTATGTTATAGGTATGTTATAGCATGGATGATTAGGCAATTGTTCTAAATTTAAAAAAGCTCATCTTATAGCAGGGAAAACACTGAGCAAACATAAGGTGATTGGAACGAATAAGTATGTGCATAGACAATTATAGAGTTTCACTTTTCCATTATTTACTTGGACCGTTATGATTTTTGCTGCTAACAATATGAACATTCATCAATGCTGGATTCTTAGCACAAGGTCTTTCTTGATGATTACAATGATTATGAGAGTACACGGAAAGTGCGTGTTTATGCATTGTACTTTACTTTGATGATGATGATTATGACTGGGTCGGGATAAAACGAGAAGAAACTGCAATCACGAATCGAGGCAGAGAAAGAAAGCTACCTCGAGTTTTAGTCAGTCATGAAATTCAAATTGAATATGAGCCTGCAAATTGCATACCTATTCCACGGCCCTGATGTAATATATGTAACCAAGAATAGAATAAATTTTTATCCCGGTATAATTGAAATTAAAATATTGCGGTAAAACTACGCAATAGTTCAACTTGTGAGAATGTACTCTAAGAGATTTCTTCAGATTTTCGGATTTTTGCACCATTTTCCCCTTGCTCCAATAAGGTCGGGCATGTCGGTTCGTCTATTTTGAATTACTTGGCAGATATTGATTAGTTTCATGTCCGCCTTTTTACCACCAATTTATTTCTAAAGGGTTCACTTTGATGGCTTCTTCAACCATTTAGTCGAGTCAAGTGAAGCAAGACATTTTCTTTTCAACCTCTTTATCCAGCAGTTTCTCGACGCCACTTTCTTAGAATAAAGATTTTCCAAGTTTTCCTTGAGTAAACTCATCTTCTTTCTACTCGTGAAGGAAGCATTCATAAACTAAGCCAGGTTCTAAGTTGTTGTGCACTTTTGTTTGGTCAGATTTTTGTGTTTGATTTTGATTCTTGGCTTAATACATAAAGCATTCAGAGTAAATATTGCAAAAATAAACCAAAAGTAGGACGAATAAAGTAAGCAAAAAGTCAACTGAGGCAACTTATTTGCTCACTTTATTAAACCATTAGCTAGAACTTCATAATGTTGTACAAAGTTTTAAAGAACAAATAACTTTAGCTTTTAAGCTCTGCATATTTAGTGTTATTTTTCAATTGACACGAGGACAATATTTAAACTGTAACTTAGATTCACTCCACGAGAGATAACTACTCAGATGACAGTTTATTCCAGTGTAATCATTCCTTTATTAATAATTTAGATCACTTTCTTATTATTTATAACTTGAAAAATTGCTTCAACGTTTTAACCATAAATTAATATAAGGAATTTAATTCCACAAATGTGCTAGAAATCCGCGATAAAAGCAAAGGCAAGCATCATCGTTAAAGGATATTGAAAGGCACCCGTTAGATTTTTTGCATTATTTCACCAAAATGGAAAATTCCATTCGTTTACTTCACTTTAGTTCTTATTTATAACCAGCGTCAGAATAAGAGCTTTGGGTGATCTTTTTTCTACTTCTTCGAGTGATTTATTGGCTTACAGGGCAAAGAAATGTATTATAAGGAAACCAAACCAATGTTGGTTGCTAGGGCATCACCGCAAATACATACAAATGAATGCTTGCATCCCTCGACTTGGTCCAAATTCTCATAAACCGATTTTCTCTTTTATATGTACAAACATAGGACGAATTGTCGCTTAATTTCGTTTTAACTCACATAATCCTTACTGCAACACGAATGAATGAAGGTGGTCTCAATACAACTCATACGCAATCAGTGCAATTTAAGACGAAGCGAAAGTAATAATCATTTATAGTGTATGAATGGATAACCTCATTGTCATTATTATATGCACGAAGCTTTGAGTTTATTATGTCCAGCAGAGGTTTCTCTCAACTGATCGCAAGAAAGGCAGTGTGACCAGGCCGAATAAAGTTGGACAAGTTCCAATGAATAAGAACACTTTGGGTGATTAGGCAGAACTGGAGAGAAAGTAAAACATGAGGAGACATGATGGCACTGGGTTTCACCAACCATTTTTCATTGCCACCTATACTTACATACGTACGTAGACCCCATCAAAGTAGTCGTGCAGTATGGAAGGAATAAGTATTCTTCCAGTTTTACTTTGCTAACGAAACCCGACCTACTTTCTCCTCATCCAAACCACCCAAAATTCGTGCCTCGACTTTTTCTTCGAGCTCGGAGCCTGTTTTCTTCCATTCGTTTCTGGTGGCATGTTAAATAATTTAGCCATGTTTTAAAAACACAGTGTATGCTTAATGTTGATGGTTTATGAGATGGAAGGACATTGTAAACTTCCAAATTAAAAAAAATAATGCGCCGAAATATCTATAACAAAATTTCGAATATATGAACGAAGAGATAATGTTTTCTTTGTGTACTTTTAGGTGGAACGCCAGGAGCCGTAAGTAAGCAAGTCATCCCACTCGGTTTGTGTCAACTATATCAGTCATCGTCCTTTCATAATATAATTTCGTGCTGCAAACACATACAAAACTTGACGGCGTGCGTCTACATAATTTTTATATCCAAACAAGCTATTATACAATAACGTCAGTTTGAAGGCTACATATTAAACATACTTTCGTTATGTCCTGTCCAATCATAGAAAAAATGGACAACGACAACTATCACAATGTACGTATTGTTTTATAAAATACCTAAAATTGATATGATCATCAGAAAAATAACTTCTGACATCAAATCCATTACCGAGGCCATTACCGCACAATGGAAAGCATTACCTGCAATGTATGTACACAACAACACCAAGAGTTGTCACCAAGACATCACGCCATTGTCGTCTGAGATCATTCTAACAATGGACACCCGACAAAATAGTGTTCCAAATTACCCAAATCTGCTGGATTCTTATGTTTCTACATAATAATTATTTATAACGAAAGACAATGATAATCCATATTATTTCATATTAAACCGTATCACTGTTGGAGAGCCATATCTCCTCCGATATTAAAGTTCAGAAATACACAAACTATTTAAAACGGCAAAGTAAAGGACGATGTCAACTGACAAAATTTTGCTGATTGACACGTGCTGCTGCTCTTACAGAATTTCAAATCTTGTGTTAAGACACTAACATTGCGAAGGGATAAGTTCAACGACTCAATATTGTCATTGTTTGTGTATTGTTCTTACTACTGGAGTGACAATCTGGAACAAAAAGGTTTCAACAAAACATGTAGAATGTGACATTTTGAATCATCGCACATATTTCTTGAAAACGGATGGATGAGGCCCTCCTACCTGAAATGAACTCGTAGGGAAGAAGACGATGACAAGGAGCATTCTACTCGTAATACTTATCATGACATCTTCAGCCGGTGCGTACATCAATTTGACGTCTGAAGAGAACATGGCATTTGTAATAATATATACGAAGTGTCGGCAAGAATTGACAGTTTGGAAAGCTGGTAGACTTTCTTTCTCTCATCCGCTTCTGGGGAGAAATATTTCCATTATTTGCAGTTTTACTTTGAAGTTCTTAATTCTGATAAGCGCATTCTTGATATTTTTAGCAGCAATGTCATCAATTCGAATGGATTTTTTTATTTCACACTAAAACCGGTGTGTGGTGCTAAATGTTTATCAAGAAAGAATCAGAACTTGAACTATCTATGCATAAGTAGCTTTAGTTCTACGTACTTAACACAGGAAAATTAAGGTAGCAAATAGTCTCAGCACATTATGCGATAACCAACAAACAAAATTGTTGACGCTTGCTGATTCAAGGCTCAAGTTCAAGGTGAATAATGTGAAAGTGCTGATAAGGGAAATATATAAGCAGACGCAGTGGAGCTACAAGAACGTGTCCTGATTTGGTTCATCTCACGCAAATAATTCACTAACTATGTGGCGAAACCTCATTAAATTAGAGGAACTAGCAAAACTGGGGAAGAAGCACTCCAATGAACTTTATAAACACATACACCAAAAACCAATTAAATCAGTGAACCATAAAAATAAGTAATAATAGTAATCTGTAATTTTCGTGACTTTAAATCCGTTTCTACACCCTGCAAATAATACTATGCACCATCGATCTATCTATCAGTTTAAATTGACAATTTGTGAACATCAGGTGCTAATTTGAAGGCAAATTATTTTATAAAGTGCTATTTACTACATAAAGAAGATGTACAAAAATATTTACAAGCTTAAAGATAAATGTAGTTAAATACGAATCCAAATAAAATATATGTAGATACGAAAAGTTATGTAGTGATAAATTTAGCTAAAATTCAAGATCTGTGAAACCTAGTCTCAATAATTGAACGTTTGTATAAATCTGAAACCCTCAATCAGGGAAAAAAATTCAACGCATATACATAGTTTTAAATTTAATTATGTTATGCTTTAGGTATGACCATGATTTTCTGTAATCAGTAGCAGGCTAGATAAATTCACGGAATCGCCACATGAACACATTAATTTCTACATTCAATACCTGCCTATGCAGATATATTGGGGATAATTTTACCATAATTGTCCGTGTCGTGTTCAATGGTCTCCGGAGGGAAGAAATTAGTGTCACACCAACCGAAACCAAAGTAAAGCTAATCACTTCTGCCCAAATAAACTATATGTACGCTTCTAGATAGAAGTTTGCGTGTGCTGCGTTTTGCCATTTAGTTTGTCATCCTATCGTCGTGGTTGGGTGAGTTCGGTGAATAATTTATGCACAAATCAGTAATGAGACAATGTTTTAATCATGTTTTAATCATGTCAGTTATCATTAACCAGTGTCTGTTAATTAGAGAGAGATTTCAAACCAAACCTGATTGATTTTGTCCCAAATTAAAGCTATCAAATTGTTAATTAGATGAACGAACGGACACTGGATGTACCATTAATTTCTACACATTCAAAATATCTCTGCAACACATCCGTCAACATATTGGCAACACGTCAATTAATCGTAAAAATGTGTAATAATACAGTGGCAGCCACTACCTAGTAAATAATTTAAAATCGGAATCTGGTTAATTAGGTAATTATGAATGGGGGCGTGATTGTTTGTACAATTTCGAATGAGATTATTTCAGTGATAAAAATTAACGTCGATGTTGAAAACCTTAATGTACGATGATATACTTTTATTTATTTACATATTTACATATGATAAATATGTAATTCTAAAGAGTAAGTTCATGACGGGTAATGTAACAAACACTAATCCTAGCTAGTTTGCGTCAAAAATTAATACTTGTATTTAATCTACCTCTCTACTTGACCCTTATGCTATATGGGGATTATGTAAACATAAATTTACATGTATCTATCGTTACATAGCTATATATGTAACATAATCTTAAACCGAACCTTAATTCAGACTCATCCAATCACACAAATTCTGTGAAAAAACTCCATGAGAACATCAGCGCTGCTGCAGAGAACGTTCAAAAGCAGGACTGCTCCAAGGTTTGACAAGTGACAAGGCAGCATCGAGGGAGCCTACACTTGAAGCAACGAAGAGAAGGAACGAAGCCACTTTCAAGAAGAATTTCACCTCAACGGGACCATGAAAGGTAAATTTCTAATGATTTATCCGAAAAATTCTGACACGTATGATACGATACCACAATTTTTCAAATAATAGTTCTACTATACGCAAAAACACATCTGCATACAAACACACATGCCTAGGTCTACATAGAAATTCTAACATATATACGTAAATCTTATCGTGTTTTAAAATTAGATTGATTTGTTTTGCTGTAGAACGTTGATGGTTATATCTGATGGCGTAATTTGACATTTTTGTGGCATATTAAGCATGTTAACCTGCCCCGTCTCCAACTTTACTTTCTTCCTGAGGTCTCTACTCCAACATATTTCGGCTTTACAAGTTAATAAAAGAGGACAAAACTTCAAAGGCAGAGAAAAAGTCATATGTTTTCACAAATATCCGCAGCCGTTGGGTTGGACCTTCCTCCGCCATTCTTAACTCACGTTCTGTTTGCTGTTTTATTTCCGTTTTTGGAGTTTTGACACTGACACTTTGACACCTATTGCTTCTGAACCAGTTCTGCAAAACTTTCCACATAGTTGTACCCTCAAATTTGTACACGAGGTACACACATGCCTAGGATAAAGTTGGTTAGTACTCAATTCAATACCAAACTCGCTCAACTTGCTGCTCAGTGTTCATTTAAAGTGTTGACTATTACTTAATTTAGACCACGACATACTCACGACAAATTCTGCTTTGAAATGTCCAACAATAAGAACGGTCTGAATTCCAAGAAGTTATTACTAGGATAGAGCAGAGCATTCCTGTAGCGCCTAGCATGCATACGTACATATTTATACGTTTATATATATGAAATAGATGTGTACATGCCTACATAAATATGTATGCATGTGATAAACTCGTTCGTAAATCTCAAATTGTAGGTTGTTGGCTGGTTATTTTCACCCAAACTCGGAACTTTGGTGATGGTATGGACTTTATTTTATGACATTTGCTGTTTGGTGGAGAGTGGTATGATCCGAGAGTGAGGAGGTGTGAAAGTGTGAGTGAAATCCGTCCCTTCAATTCCATTCTGTTTAATAATGAATACTTTCCCAATCAACTGGTTCCTTTTTCCATGCTTTTTCCTCTCTCTCTCTCGCCGTTGGTGGTTAGTTGGGTGGTTCTGCTGTATTTGATTTGGCCATGTGCGCGTTTACCTTTCTTTCTTTCTCGCTGTGACTGGATGGCAAAGTGGTTTACTCGCAAACCAACTCTAGCCGACAAACTGTGTGGATGGAAACGTACATACTTTGGCCTTTCATCCATCTCACCCAGAAGGGCTGCACTTGGCATCTTCGTGAAAGCCCTTTTATTGAAAAATGAACCAAAGACCCAGAGTAGGAATAAAAGAAGTCCATTTTGCTCCGGGAGTAAATTTAATGTAAGGTTAGGATTGGGGGACTTCAAAAGTTGTAAAACTTTTCTCCTTCGATGGTCCCATTTGATGGGTTCGACATTTTCCCAGTGGCTGGCATTATTATATTAGTGGAGAAGCCCTTCTCCCTGGATATGTGCATGCCTGACAAATCAAGAAGAGGCTGCGGAGCCATAGCCTTGGGACAACCGATGTAATATTAATAAGGCTAGGATTTCAATTCCGCAAAACTTTTGGTGTAACTCTGGTTGATATTCTCGGCATTAAATTTAATATATTCAACCACAAATGCGGTGGGATTGAGATGGATGAAAAATATATGTATATATTTTTACTAAACTGAGATATAAAAATAGTTCTGCATTCATTCATTAGGAAATGAATAGCTTAAAAATAACTCCGCGATCTGACGATAGAAGCAGCAACAGAAACTTTCCTATCGTTGTTAGTTGTTGGGTATACAAATGCTTTCATTAAATATTTATAAATGAGATAAGATAATTATAGTTATTCAACTATAGCGTTATGATTATTTGAAAACTCCAGGAAGGCCCCAACAAAATTATAGAAAGCGTTTCAAAGGAAAACTCACTCTTAGTTGCAAATTGCCAGTTTGAGCTATCAATTATTATTTCTCCAGGCACAAATTTAAATCAACTTTAGTGTCGTGGCGACACTAAATCCTCCTGTCTATCTCTACAATAAAATTATAAACCTGTCCATGCGCATGAGATGATTCTAATGTCAAAATCATGGTTTTTAACAATAGTTCATTGTCCTTTTTATTGACGTTGTTTTTCTGAATAAAAGAAGAATAAATAAAAACTTATCATTTGTAACAAGAAAAGACGGTGGTACAAGAAGAGTAACTCTAATTTAGCTAGAAAAAACTGAGATGTATTACAACTTTCACTCCAGTAGAACTCAAATTTAAATTTTATTATTTGTTTTGCTATTTATATTATGACTTTATAAGGAGGAAATTTTAGATTGCAACGTAAACATATTTACTGTCTGAAAATAGGATTACGCAAAGTACTCATCTTAACAAAAGCAATCAGCGCAACGCTAAATACTAATGCAAAACGATCTTTATCTGTAATCCCGCAATTCGCCAAAGTGAAAGTCGCCTAGTCCAAGTAGAGTTAAAAAGTTGCAACTTTCCTCGCCAAACTATGTCACCAGTGAACTAAGTAGGCTTAAGGTCAAAGCAATAATAAAGTTAATTTAAAGATGGGCTAAATTGCCACTGAGCAAATATTGGAATTTCTCCTTTTTCGATAAAGTTTTTCCCAAAGTAAACTTTTATCATTTACCTTCAACTGAGCGGAAGATTATAACGAGACATCTCCATCCTATCAATTTCTTACCATTTACACTATGCGTGTTTCCATGTCCTCAAACCATAATTTGCATGTCGAAGAAACTTGCTGAAATCTAAATAAAGCCGTCGTGAGTCCCAGCTAAACTAGTGAAGAATAGACGAAGAATATTTACCTAGTCACGCCTTGAAAAGTCGTCGTTGTCGTCGTCGTCGTCATCCTTGTATGCGCCATAATCTAGCATCGGTGTTAAGATCGGTTGCGCATTAAGGTGAAAAGTGAAGATGCACGATGGTGACTCTTTGTCTTCTCATCCTTTCATTAATATGTGAATGTTTCCCTTTGCAATCCCATTAAGAAAGTGAGTGAGTGAGCTAAGCTAACAACCCCAGCCAGCCAACTTTCTCTGTTCCAGACTTTTCTCAATCCGGCCGACACGGCGCAATCTATATGCTCTGCAGCTACAACAGCGAGTAGGCTACTCACAGACACCCGCAGGAATGTGGCATCGAATAGGCAGCTTTCTTGCTATCTCGTTTAAAATCATGGAGGTAAATAGGAGTGGAGATGGCAAAATGAAGAAAGTTAGCATAGTGTTTGGTAGGTTACCATGGCTGAGTGATGCTGTTAAGCCAGCTCAATATCTTAACATCACGTTCAACATTGAAAATTGGAGCATCCATGAAAAACTCTGCGACAAAAACCTCATGTGGAAGTGAACGTTTTGCATGTTCACGGTTGGGGAAAATCATATGCTGTAAACTTTGCATTGTTTCTACATTAGTGAGTACTACGCGACTGGGATGAGACTTTGAATAGGAAAACCCCCTCCGAGTTTAAATAATACCTTAACTGCTTCAGCTGCGGGTTAGGTACGTGCACATTAGAAAGTTTAATACTCTCTCGAAATGGCGAATGCTGATAAAAGATCGGAAAATATAATCATTTCATTTTACGTCTGTTCTCAACTTCATCCTCTTCCTTGGCCCAGACCGAGGTCCAAAACTTCCGTGTAATTCCGTTGCTGCTGCTGTGGAAAGAACGCTTAAATTACACAACTCTTTTTTACTCGCAAGTTACATTATCTTGATTGAATTTTTCCCCGTGTTCTTCTCTGCCATAGTTCAATTGGTCCCTCTGTGCTTTCTCTTCTCCAACTTTCTCCGTTATACGCGCATGCATACCTAGTTGTTATTTTTAGGGCCCTGCTTCAAAATCTAACTCTATGGTGCGGCCAGTTCACCAAACTTTGAATACATTTATGTATGTACATATTTTGGACTGCGTATAGTGCAAAAGTCGTGACTCTCTTGCATTCGGCTTGAAAATTGATTAATAGAAATATTTGGTTGTCCCTGTAATTGCATTGCATTTGCATATGCATATTTTACGGGGACATTATCATTCGCATTAGAGTTCTACTGAAATAATCTGTACAGCCATCAAGTTACTTCTTGCTTCATGGAGAGAAATTTTATATTATTTTTTGCAAGGTTAGTCCAGAAATTTCTAATACATTCGATCCCTTACAATAAAGGATAATTGTGCGAAACGTCAATCTGCAAGATCTGCATTGCTAAACTTCAACAGTTAAAAACCCTCTCTATTTTTTAAACCGGGGACTTAAATAGAAATCTAACATTATGTTTATACATCGTCCAAGGTTAGTCAGGTAAAAATGGTGTAACATAAAAAAAGTTATGCTTCCATGTTGCGCTACTGACTGAGAAATTGTGTATCGATAAAATTTTGACAGGTGTTTCCCAAGATGAGTATTCATCTTTGCATAAGCTCCAAGGCAACCTCCTACCCAATAAGTAAACATTCGAGTGTTTTCAATAGAGCCTCGTTTCTATTTTAAATTTTTATTCGAATCTTGTCACATTTAGTATGCACACAATTAAATATTTTCCTAAGTTTATCATATATGTATGTAGTTTGTTTATTATTAAATAAAACTACTTGGGGAGCTTGTTACGTTTGACAAGTTGTAGTTTGTAGCTGTGTTTGCTAGCCATTGTCAGACTATCTGTATCTGCGCATAAACTGTGCTTAGAATCCACATCCAATCGACAGAATGTGCGTTGGCTGATCTCCTAGATATGTATCTATATTGCTTTTGAGCTACGTCATTTTCCTTGACTTTACGGTTGGATGTGGCTGCATGAATATTCGATGGGTAGAAAAATTCCCTCTTCATTTGCCATCCTATAAGTAGGCGATTCCATCTGAATTCCCTTCCGATGACGACGATGATGGTGCGTGGAGTCTCTGCTCACGTCAAGAAGTCAAGTCAACTGTCCCAGGACACCCATTCTCCGAGACGTTGATATCTACGTTTACATGGAGAATACCCAATAGTACAATTATCTTTAATGCCATGCACTGTCCAATGCAAATCAACCATCATCGTATGTCAATGTCAACTAGTAATGTAAACTATTAATAAAAATGGAGCAAGTGGTGCAGTTTTCCTAAGCACAACTTTGGAGATGAGACACGATTGTTACTACAACTTGAAATTGTTGGAAAGCATGTGACTTTATATCAAACATATGTAGGTACATATCTATATTATCATTTTGTGAATGTTGCGTTTCATCAGCCCGAGATAAGTCTGCATGCCATATTCTCACTTGTATTACAATATCACTATTTTCACTTAATTTACTTGATTGCTAAAATATACGGTACGAGGAGCGAGGCGTAAGTAAAGCTTATGATGAGAAGGAGCATCAAGGTATAAAAGTGCAGTTTGTTTCTCACACGCAAGACAAGCGAAATGTTATGTTTTGAAGAATGAGAAAATATGTGAAGTCATTATCATTACATAAAGTAAATTGCCACTGTGGCTGGAAGCATGTATACGTCCATGTCAACGGGTGGTGCTTTCACCTTCCCCCAGCCACCAAAAATAACTTACTCTCAACTAACGAGGATCACCATAATATGAGAAAACTTATCAAGTATTCTCGGCACAATCTCCTTGAGCCTAAACTACAGTACAAAATATTGCGTAAGTAAAGGAACACGAGGAGAGGAGAAACTGCATTAAGCTAGTCACATACACACGTGCAGGATGGATTCGAATGATGCGATCATGAGGAATATGAAAAATAAACCGCAATGAAAAGCCTCCATAGAATTCGTACGTTCAACTGCTTAACCTTTTCCTTTTCTTCCTTCACACCACATCCATGCCCGAATCTAATATCTTTTCGTTGCAAGTTTTAGCAATGCATCATCAAACACGGTTCTTAGCTGCAGCCCAAGAAAGTGGAGAAAGTATGTGATCCTGGATTTAGCATATTTGCTTAATTCATCAAGTGTGACTTTAAGTATGCTCCTACCATCAATTAAAAAAATAAGGTAATCCTACTTACAGAAGAAGGGTTGGTTTTTTGTGGGTAGCTCGGCTGGGACGCCTGAATGAATGTAGATTATGGTGAATTCATGTCCAGAGAGAATTGACTGCAAAAGATGTAGGTTGCGATATGAAAGAAAATCTCGTTTTCGCAAATCTTTGCATCATTCGATTTAGTTTGCAAACTTTTTGTGCAATTCTGTTGAGGATTTGTGTTTGATCTGAGTGAGACCTGCTCTCCTTTTTTCCAACACAAGCAGATCGAGAGCAGAGGGTTAGGAAGGAATACCATGCGTGGGAGCACACAGTAGTGCGAGCGACGGGAGCGAGAGAGCTGGGTGCGATTGTATGCAAATATCTGTTTTGGCAAGCAAGCAAGGAAGCAAGTAGAGTGAAGGAAAGGAAGGCAGCAAGTGTTGACTCTGCTTTCTCATTCTTGAGCTGAAGTGGCTACGTAAAATCCAGAATGCGATGCTTGCAGCCCACTTTGACCCTTTGCATAAACAGGTTTTTCCCGTAGTCGCTTCCCCCACCGCGACACATACAGACATTGCATTACATTTGATTTGGATTTGTTTGGCAGAGCTTTCTCTCTCGGCGAATGTGAGTCTCGTAGTCTGTGCGGACAAAAGATTACGCGTTACTTTGTGCTAACCCATATCACGCCATAGCACGTATTGTATTGGCCTGATTGTATTCAACCGATACACACATCCAATGTTCTCATAAAAATAAGGTTGCAACGAGCACGGGACATCCGCGGTTGCGAATTTTCCCAGAATCTTTGCCAACTTTCTCTTCCTACTCGAGTTCTTGCCTTTGATCATGAACTGAGATTTTGTATACGTGAATGCACTACTGTGACGTTTTTCATGTTTGCCAAAAAATCTCGATCTGCTTTGGAGCCAGACTGTCCAGACTCCTATACTTACTTGAAAATAGTAATGGAATGATAAAAAATAGTGCACAATCTAATCATGGACAATATCTTAGAAATTATCATTTTTTCTACTGAATGAATCTCTTGTTAAACTACAGAACGTTTGAACGCATTGCGAATTTTTATTGACGCTTTATGTGAATTGAAGTTCAAATGTGAGATTCGTAGTTTTGAGGACAATATGAAAACGTAAATAGGTTTGTGTTCGAATGGGAACGAAGTTACATAAGGAAACATTTATTACATTGCCAATTTGTACGACACGTATCATAATTACTTAAGTAGGTTGGCTGGCTCTGGACTTAAATCTTCATCTCTCTCTCTCCCTGCCTCTTGGTCTGACATGAGGAAGGTTGGCCCAGTAAGTTATCCCTCCAACAAAGTTTACTCGTCTAATCTCCATAAGAATGCAGGCTTGTCGCCACACAGTGACAGCGGAATTCCTCCGAACAAAGTCAAAGGGGCGGACGTCTCACCATCTGAGAAAGCTAAGCTAGCAAGAAAGCCAACGGGGCTGGCATACAAGTTTGGTAACGAGGAAGGAGTAGATTGAGATGGATCCAAAATCTGGGAAAGCCATCATTTCTTGGGTTGGGTTGGGAAAGTGGGGTAGGAGGGAAAACAACCCCGTGTGTCCCAGAGGTGTCCTTATCTCCAACTTCTTCCAGATTAAACCAAACCCGTCCCTCGGATTCTCCAACAACTTTCGTCTTTTCCCAGGATTCTGTGGATCCCTCCTTTTCTCAGACTAGACTTATTTTCGGAAAAGTAGGTGAAGACAAGATGAGAAGTAACAAATATTTGCACAGCCTTAATCATCATTATAGAAAGTCTAAGGGTATGCAAAACATGAAATAAGCTGTTGTGACATTACAGCCAATTCTATTTTGCACGCTATACATTAAAGGTATGAAAATTCTCATTGGTTTAACAATTGCCATTTTAATCATATAAAACCACTTTATAAAGTCGATTGTTTGATTACAGCCTTAGTATCATGATTACTTGATATTTAGCATTTAGGTAACTCTTCTCCATTCAATGATAAAGTGTTAATAATCTTGCATTAGTATAGAGGTTTAAAAAATATTATAAGGCAAACCAACTGTTCTAAATTCAAAACCATGCATACACACGTTTGAAGTTGGAAGAAACAAGCCAAAATCTTGGTATGAAATCTGAAAACTTTCAGTATTTAATAGCAATGGAATCAAGCTATGGAATGAGAGTTGGTTTCTGTGCTGATAAGAAAGAAGCTTCGAATAATTTATGTATACCTTCTTCTCAAACTCGGTCCGTTCTCAAGTCATTGACATTTTTGTCAATGTTGTCAAAGTTACAAATTTTCGAACATAAGAAAAGAGACACATGGTCATAAAGGCAGGAGATAATCTAATGTAATTGTGAGCACAGTTTGGCTGGTAACCACTTATCATCGTAGCCTAACTGGTGTCGTACAGGGTTGAGGAAGAGCTGAAGAAAAATGTTCTGCCATTTTCATTGTCTTATCTTCTAGTAAATAAATGAGGACTCTGTAAAAATTGTTGGGTTGACTTCATGTCGAGTCAGCTTTGGACGTCCTTCTTTTTGAAAATTGCTGTAAACGATAAGAATTATGTTGGAGTAATTACATTTGTCATATTTTAAAAATTGTTTAATATTTTCTCGTGAAAGTATTCACAGTTTATCACTAATCATCCTGCGTACTACCATGTTAGATAGTGTTAAATAATGTCAACGTATGTATTTCCGTGTACTGATCTCCTCATTCATTTTATTTTATTAATTAAAGGCAGAAATAATGAAAACAAGGCCCTTAAAATTCCACATCTTCGTGAACAATGCACACTAGAGGCATATATGTAACACGTACAATAGCAAAAACTGCAATAATACTGTGTATCTGTATTACTGGTCACGTTTTGTCGCACTTTTTGTTGCCTTTTCATGCGCATTATTCTATTTTGCTTTCCTCTAGTAGCGATAAATATTCGTTTAATTTCGCCATGTTTTATTTGTGCGAGTGAACCTGTAAACTTTCATATTTTAATAGGAATCCCGATTCCTTTGAAACTGTCTGTTTGAACTGAAGCCAAGACCTTATTTGAGGGACTTTATTATGCGAGCAGTTCCCCTTGGAAGGAGAATATCCTATTATAAAATATTATGTCGCTTGCCTCTATTAACGTTTGAGTAGCAACATGGGATTAAATGGGGCCGAGGAGGAAATAGCTCCACTAAAAACTAAAACTGCAGAGTGGATCTGGTAAATTTTAAGGGTGGCCATTAGCCTGGATGATATTGGTCGTTGCTTCAAAATGTTCAGATGTCGAAGTGAATAAACTTACAAGGTTGACAATATTACGATATTGTTGGCTGTCTTCCGCATCTCATCTCATTTTGGATAGCCCAACGATGTGGGGTTGGGAGAGAGGGGAATTCTGCTGCTGTGCAACTGCAGGAATTTACGACCTCCGGCCAGGAGGCCCCTGTGTCCCAAGTCGTCAGTCGTCGGAGGAAAAGATATTCACTCTTGACTCGTAATACCGTAAGCGCAGCGTATTTTGGGAGTACGTAGGCACACATTTTCATTCAGAGATGAGTGTGCATTACCCTCTTGTTCCCCAACATCGTCAAATTGCTCGCAGCAGAGCGAGACAGCAGCAACCAACAATTTAGTAGCATCGCATTGCGTCAAAGATCCCAAAGAATATTGTCCCAAGCTGTCGAAATATTGACTTTGGCAATGACAATGGATAAGCTATTTATAAGGGAAACTAAATACATAAATGTTCTATCAACAATGCACAATAGAATAGCTGCGAATGTCATATACATACACATAAATGCAATGATATTACACATATTTGTGCACATATTTGCACGCAATACTCTAAAAACAGACACTACATATATGTTTTCAATAAAACATTTTAATAATGTACAGTTTTTCAGTAATTTATTTTTTCATTTTTTCTAGTGGATGACTACCCAAAACCCAAACTGATGAATTGAGGAGAAAGTGTCATCGTCAGTTTGACCATTTCCCACAAAGAAGAAGTATCTCTCGGACTGTCGGAAACCCCAAATTATAAAAAGCCCTTCCAGTCCACAAAGTTGTGTCTCCACCATGCGAGCCACTTCTTTCTCCCAAAAGTGAATAAAATTTCGACTCCCTAGATAACATCGCACAGCTTCACCAACCTCATTACCAGGGAGCCCAATGAATTTAAATATTTCCATGTCCTCCCCTCCTCATGCTCGATGATGGTGCGTGGTGGTTTGCAATGCATTGCCCACCGAGGAGACCAGTGGAATAAAATAAAATAAAATTACAACTCTTCTTCTCATCCCACCCAAAATTTGGTGCAGAAAAGAAGTGCGGAAAAGTGTGTGTGTGGAAGAAAGTTGTCTCGGTCTTCGTATTTAAAAGTAGGTCCCAAGTCGCGGACAAGGAAGAAAGAAGAAATCGGCTCAGTCTCCAGTGGAGTTGAGGCAGGAAAAGAGCTTGGGCTCTGGGTAATAAAATCGAATGGAATAGGGCTCTTAAATCATTATGTAATTGATGTTTACAATTTATCATGGAAACTGAGGCAGGTAAAGGGTAAATGTATACACAAAGTCTATATTAATATGATGTATTGCGTCAATAAGTTAACTCATTTCATTCATAGTGTCCTCTCTATGTACATAAGTGTAAATATTAAATATCTAACTACATGTTCCACTAAAGGAAAAAAGAGGAGGAGGTCGTCTATGTAGCTTTATAGAAACCACTATCTTAACGCTAGAGAATTATGCTTGGTTGGTAGACGGAGGATCGAGCACTAAAGATACCAAAAATTACTGCAGCCACATTTGTCTGAACTATGGATATAAGTAAATACATTATATATACAAATATAGCGATCATATAAGCTACGACTAATAATAAATAGGCTACTGATTATGATAAGATAATGCGTATGTGTGATCATGATAGCTTACACGTTATAAATTACTTATACCCAGAGTTAACTTTGCAGAAGAACACTCCACGTCTACCCTGCATACCTACATAAGTAAGTACATATGTATTCCTCTACATCTAGCTATACAATGCCAAGCGGAACCGTTACATGTATGTAATAATAGAAAACTATTACACTGTATGAAATAAATAATTTATTATTACGTGTACCTCCTCCGCTGTATGCATTTCATTGTTCTTTTTTGGCTCGTGTCTCTGTCTTGTCATCTTGATATAAGAATAAAAGAAGATAAGATGTAAAGTATGGAGTCTCTCGGTTGAATTGAATAAAAGCCAAAGTGATGATCATTCTAAGAGAAAATTTCCGCTTTCATTCTGCATTCTTCCATGTTCTCGGTGTCATCAGCCCTTTCTCAGGTCACATTTCATTTGAAGTATTAATAATTTTAATTTAATAATAGGGAGCAGAATAATTGGAATAATAAATTATCAAAATTATGTAGGTCACACTAATTGTGGGACACAGTGTAAGTTTTTTTGGGCTTTCGGGTAACTTTGCCACTTTCAATAACAGTTATTAATGTACACCCATAAAGAAAATTTACACATATGTTCATACGTGCAACATATATAAATAGTAAACATACAGTAAAATTCATATTTTTTTGCACAGTCATAATTAGGTAAGCAAGATCAGTATGCAAGGAGAGTCAGTCAGTTGGCCTCACTTTACAAGGACTTTTTCAAGTCTTTCTGTTTTGCACCAATGGCGGAGGTGGAGAAAGTAAGAGGAGAGAAAGCGAAAGGGCTGTGTTTACCAGGTACGCTGTTTTTCCTTCGTAAAACTGCGTTGGACACTTTGCATTCATTTAAACGCACACTATGTGCGCCTGGAGGTGTGTAGTTTCTTGCTTCATTTATGATAAAAGTAAAGGAAATTGTGCCAAAATAACCGAGAGAGAAAGTAGAAATAAGGAGCGTCTTCTCGCGCCGGGACGTCATCCCGTCATTCTCCACAATGCACACGAATTTTAGTCTGGAAGACAAGAAAGAGAAGACATTCAATTTCAGGCTCAAGGACTCCCATAATGCTTCTTGTACCCTCATCTATTTTCATTTAATTTTAATAACAGAACCTCCTTTTCATCTGAGAACACAAAGGACATTTTTTGAGAATGTCCGTATTCACTAAAATGAAAACCACATATATGCGGAAGACTACTGCCACTCGTATTTGTACATCGTGTTTGCGATTATGTCTAACTTGTGCCTTTCATTGTTGAAATAAGTTTCCCTAGTGGTACTGGAAAGCAATGCAGGAGGTATCCGCGTAAGTAATAAAAATATTTGTACGACGATGTCAACAGCCCTCAATTTACCAAAACTCAAACACAAAACTATTTCTCAAAGACGTGTTTATTTTATCATTGAATTTGGTTTGTATTTGTACAAAGACTTTGACGGAAATGATAAACATATAAAATTACTATAAGAAGCGATTCAGATTTTGAATTTCAGTAACATTTTGAATAACGAATGAGTACTTAGTTATAGTCAGTATAGATATACATCGTATAGTAATTTGCATGCACGGATGGTGATTTGACTATGATCACACCTAGTGAACCCACATAAGTGAATATCTAGATAACGACCTCGTGTGGTTTCACTAACACACAGTAAACACCGTTGATGGAAATTATGTGTTAATCCGTAAGACTGTAAAAGAACGATGTATTTATCTCTAAGGTGCATACATATTTCTTACGAGCATGCACAATCACCTTTTCTGGCCTCCCGTACCTCTTTTCCGCGACACTTGCCATTTCTTTCTCCGCCAAGTTTTAATTGTGTTTTGGGGACCACCTGGTGTGTGATATACTGTGAAAATTCGGGAAATGTATGTAGGGAGGAACGCCGAAGGAAAAACTAAGCCCTTCTTCTCTCTTCCTTATTTCGTGTGTGTATTGGGAAAGTGGTTTGAGAGAGTCCCGTGAGAAAGACAACAACTGACGAGGACAAATACAATTATTAGTTTGGTCCCTCTTCCAGCCATAAAAGTGGAGAAATAGGGCTGATATTTCACCAACTTTCACCCGTTCAGTCCCTTTGACTGAATGGTGAATTGACCGGACGAGAATTCCCAAATTTTCTAACTCGCTCTGAAATTCTTTGAGCATCGGCGGAAGTTCTTTTCTCGAAAGCATTGTTCATATTTATTTTAGTGGTGGTGGTGAGCAAAGAAATGGAGAAAGCGAGTATCACCAACCAGCCAACCACACCAATTCTGCAACCCACATTTCTGATGCTCCCATTTATACGTGCGTCGTGCTATCTGCCACGAGGACTTCCTACGAGGAAACGATGGGTTGAATCTGGATGGGAATGTGTGGTGGTGTGGGTAACATGTAGGAGAGAGCACTTTCCACTACTTTCTCTCCATCCCGTCAAGCACGAAGCCAACAAGGTTGTTTAACACACACAACAACCCTTTCAAACTGAGAAACCATCTTTTGCTCTTAGCGAGTGAGTGAGTATTACCATCTCCGTTGCTGAGGGCACACATAACGTACTTGTTTGCGAATCTCGATACAAGTGCGAACCAGCTGACGCCAAACAGGAAAAGGGCCTTGTGCCACTTCCTCCTCTTCCTTCGTTGTTTAATCTTTTTGTTTGGTTTTGAGTTTGCACACTTTACAGTTTTGCTAATTTGTAATCCGTTAACTAAATTTGAACATGGCTATGAGATGCGTTGTTCATATGACAATGTCCTTTAACTCCCAATAGATAAACTGAGGAGTTGTTTTTACCAGCCTTAAATTTATTCGTGGAACAAGACTCGTATGTTTAGATATGGAGTATACATTGCATTGAAGTGGCAATGATAAATCTATTATAAACTATGAAAAGCAATAAATTAAAAATCTGCTCACGGCGGCCGAATATATATCAAGACTGCGAAGGATATTTACTTACATAAGCGATCTCCACCCAATCCTTCGCACACCCGTCACCTCGTATCTGTCGTCTGGCGACTACTGGAACAGCAACTCAAGAATATTAATCTAAAAAAAGGTGTACCTCAGTTCTCTACGTGAGCTGTAAATTTCATGATCCGTTAATACGAAGAGTCACATCGCCAGGCCTTACTTACGTAATATTCGAAAGAAATTGTGTCCACGTAAAGTTTATATTTGTGATTCAAGCCTGTTAGTCAACAATGGGTGTCCGCTGAACTATGCACTGAAAAGATTAAACGTGCAGCGGATTGTTTCATGGAGAAAGTTATGTACTTCTGGTGTAAAAATTCAGATGATAAAGTCCAAAGTCCAAAGAGTAATACAATTGCACATACATTGGCGAAGGTCTTGTGCCATTTGTACCACAAAAACACTTCAAAAATCTAATAAAAACAGGAGCATACTACTTGGAGTACAAAACAAGTAGTACTTCACATCAAAGTCTTCCAAGTTCCATGCCATATGCTCACTCACATGCTTTTTCGTACTTTACTAAGGATTTCAGATAATATCCAATGTGCTTCTATTTTAATATTTTCACATTTACTCAACGATAACAACCTGCGTAAACAATAGTCAGACAAAGACGTTCTATGAAAATTATTTAGGCTGAGCGAGATGAGACTGTCACTAATACATACATATATAAATACTTATTTTTTATGCTACCATAATTTCGAATTTCGTAGATAATGCTCGTAAGTAATTTTTTGACTCCCACTCCATACTAAATGTCAGTTGATTATATCAACTTTCAGAAATCGGTGTTGGTCACCTCACCACCCACGAGGGTAACTCTGGTTGCAGTTTGATCGCATTTAACTTCATATTATTTCATATTTAGAAACCATTTGGGATCTCTCTGCCATATTTTTGTTTTTCAAGTTAATTTCTGATAAACAAGGTCCCAAAAAATGGGAAATCTTAGTGAGGCAGTGCAATTTCAACTAAGAAATAAAATTAGATTGCAGAATTTTTGAATCACCGCTCTCGGAAATATATCCCATTAATTATGGTCCATTATGTTAGATCTTAGTTAATTTAGCACATTTCTATTTCACTAGTAAAAACGCAAGATTCTCAAATTAAGATTTTTTTTTAAAATTTTATTTTCGTTTATTAACATAAACATAAGATTGTAGATAAAATAAGATTGAAGAATCCATGCTTATGCAAAGTAAAATTTACAGTGCATCCAATGAAAATGATATTGAGAGCGGTGATGCAAAAATTTTGCAGTCTAATTTTATTTCTTAGTTGAAATTGCACTGCCTCACTAAGATTTCCCATTTTTTGGGACCTTGTTTATTTACAACTTGTAATTGGGTTGTCAACGACATTATTTCACTGCAGCACAGCCATTATATTTGCATCAAGAGTAATTTTACTAAATTTGTTGTTTTCAAAATTCAATAGCGTCGTGATTTCTTAACCGATTTCGGTCAACTTGGTCTTAAAATGATCCGAAGGAATCAACGTAACTTTTTCCAATAATTTAGAATACTGTGATGCTCCAAAATGGAACTGTGGATAGAAATGTGACTCGGAGTGCAAATTTTTGTCCCTTTTTGCCCATAACTTGAGTAAAACTCAAGATTTCTCTTAGTCGGATCAGAAATCGTTTTCACATCCCCTAACAATGATCTGTGCAAAATTTCATCGAAATCGGTTGAGAAATGGCCGAGAAATAGAATTATTTCACTTTTTTGGGGTGGGGTAAATGCATACTTAGTAATTTTTTTTCGTTGTTAGGTATTTGCCTCACTAAGAAAAATCGATCCCATTTTAAGAAAATTTTCAACTTTTACCATACGTATATTCCGAGTTTATACATTTGTGCCGTATTACAGCCTTCTACGACTGTTTCGAATATTCTGCATCAAACCCTCCATACCACTTATATGACCCCCACTGGTTCAACCCACTGGTTGAACTCGGTCGTAGTGACAACCAAATTTGATCAAAATCGGTCAAAGCGTTCTTGAGTGAGTTATCAAAAGAGAGACGAACGGACATGACGATTGCATAGCCATGGGTTAAAACCTAAGATTTTAAAAATCAACCAGTATCGATCGATCAACAATAAATAACCCAATGATTAACGCAAGAGAGAACAAATCAATTTTTTGTACCGAATTAGAATAAGTTTACACATTTATATAACCCCATCCATTCTACAAGTGTTTTGAATCAATTATGGAAAAAATTTATAATACACTAAAATTTTACTCAATGACCAAATCCCTAAATAAAACTGCTGTGTACGAGAGTAGAATGTTACGCATGTTAAGATGAAAATAGGTACAGGACCAATAGGACAATTTATAT